CAGCCACGCTGGCTTTGTGGACAGAACTGCGAGGTAACGGGGCAGACCCAGTTAACAGCGCCCACCATTACCCCATACACTCCGGTGGGAGTCCTTAGAGAGAGTGAAATATAGAAGAATAACGTATGTTTTCTTGTTCAATTCTCAAAACAACCCCATTAGCATCGTTCCTAGTTCATAGGGGCCCAGAGAAGTCAGGCAACCTGCTGTCTTAGTCCTGTTAGAGCTACTATAACAAAATATTGGGTAATTTATCAACAACAGAAATTTATGGCTTACGGTTCTGGAGGCTGGGAAGTCCAAGAGCAAGGCACCGACAGACCTGATGTGTGGGGAAGACTCTTTGCTTCATAGGTGGCACCTTCCCGTTGTGTCCTCACGTGGCAGAAGGGGTGAACAAGCCCCACTGGGTCTCTTTCACAAGGGCACTAATCCCATTCACAGAGCACTCATGACTTGACCAGCCCCCAAAGGCCCCACCTCACCTCTTAATACTATTGCACTGGGGGTTAGGTTTCCGCACATGGATTGTGGGGGGACACAAACCTTCGGAGCATAACGCCTGCCCACAGTCACAGAGTCATTATGGTGAGCCCCAATTCTGACTTATTCTACTGGACCACGATGAGTCTATGAGTAGAGCTCCTGGGAACCATGGTTACTGTGACATTCAGGGAAGTCACATGCTGGACCTGGATTCTGGAGACTGAGGTTTTACTTCTCAAATCCTGAGATAACTATACTTTTCTGTGCCTGATGTTGTCTCCAAGTCTCTCTTCTCTGAATGCCTGTATCACCTTGGGCTGCTCCTCTCCAAACTAGCTTATATTGTCACCTGGAGTTCTTTCACATACCTAACTTGGGTCTTTCCAAAGAGACTCTTAACTCACCCACATAGACATGCTTTTCCTTGCTTCTCTTCTAGGGAATGCAGGGTGCAGGGTAAAGAGGACTGGATTTAAAGCCAGACTATCTGGGCTCAAATCCCAGTTCCACAGCTCAAGAGCTCTGAGCCGAGGAGACCCTGCATAAGCTACTCGGCCTCCCTAAGCATCAGTTCCCAAATCTTTAAAACAGGAGCATGCACAGTAATTACTTCGTGGGTGGGATGTGAAGATTAAATGAGTTTACCCATAAAGAGCTTAACAGAATGACTGGTCCAGAGTAAGTGCTTAAAAGTGCTTACACACACACACACACACTGGAATACTGCTCAGCCACAAAAAGGAATGAAATCATGTCTTTTGAAGCAACTTGGATGGAACTGGAGATCATCATCCTAAGTGAAGTATTTCCAGAATAAAAAAACAAACACCACATGTTCTCGCTAATGTGTGGGAGCTAAACTATGGGCACAAAGAGATGTAAAGGACATTGGAAACCAACAAGGAGGGAGGGCAGATGGGAGGTGATGGGTAAAGACTCACCTGTTGGGTACAATGAACACTGTCCTGGTGATGGGCACACTAAAAGCCCGACTTAAGCATCACACAAGGTATCCATGTAACAAAACCATTCGTAGTCCCTACATTATCTTGAATATTCAGCATGGCTTTTTTCCACAAGCCTCAAATTATGGGTGTGCATTTATTATTTACACCTTCACCACAGCCTCCTCAAATTGCTACAATCACACATTATTTCCAATTCTTTTGCACAGTTAAAACTAGGGAGACAGGGTCCTGGGGGGCCATGGCCAGCGGTCACACCTGCTCTAAAAGCTGACATTGCCTCAGGGTCACTGGGCATCTCTTCTCCACCGAGAAGCCCAGAGAGGCGGCACCAGGCAGTGGGCAGAGCACAGACTCCGGAGCCAGGTCTGGGCTTCAGCTTTGCTATGCAACAGCTTTCTGAGCACGAAAAGTAATTTAACCTCTCTTAGGCCCCGTTTATTTAACTTTCAGATGTGCAAAACTTCCAGCTCAGTGCCCAGAACAGAAGAAGTACTTAAGACATGGCAGTTACTTGTCCTCTGCTTTACAAACAATCCTCTATCTGGCCGCCTCCTCGCAACAAACCCCTCGTCTTCCCCACGACCTGTGTCCTTAGAGTCCTCGGCGTCTCACCGTCAGCACCTGGGGGTCATCTTTGCCCCCACTCTTTCTCGCTCCCCATGTCCAATCAGTGGGATACCCTGAGGACTTGACCTTCAACCCGCACCCCTAATGTGACGACCCCTCTGACCTCTACTGCTCCCCTGCATCTGAGCCAACATCCTCTCTCACCTGGATGCCTGGGGCAGTCTCCAAAACGGTTTCCCTGCTTCTCCTCTTATGAATCTGCCCTCAGAGGTTTTCTTCCTGTTCCATGACCTGGCTTCTAATAGTTCCAGTTTAGAACAAACAAATCAGCCAAAAAAAAAAAAAAAAAGCTATACAAAAAAGTGATGTATGGAGAAGAGATGCGCTTACTTCTTTTCTTTTCCCCTCTAGATTTTCCCAGAAAAATTAGGGCAGGCATAGGAAAACCTCCGATGTTTTATACTCCTTTGCTGGTGATAGATAAAATGTAACGCAGTCTGCCCTGTTTGTGACTTCCTGGAAGGCAGGTGCTGTGTTCTCAACAGCTTCAGGTAACAACGGCACCTAATGTATTCCTCTGCACAATGGGGGCCTAACAAATGCTCCAAATAAACCAATAAAAGAATGAACAAATAAAATGCAGCCCGTTAACTCAGCTCCTTGCATTCAAATTTTCTCTGTCCCTGTCCTGACCTTGGCCCATATAGTCTGCTCAGCCCCAGGAACAGCCTTGAATCTCAGAGTCCTCCAACCCAAGTCCTTGAGCCAGCTGGGGAGGTGCACGAGCTCTGGTGCCTTCCCTTCCATATATGGTACCAGGGTGTTTAAAACCATGATTACTAGCATTGCTGTTACAGGCTATAGAACCCCACTAAGCACTGTGGTCAGTTCTAGCTGCAGGAGAATAAATATGATTTCCTATCTACGGCTCCATAATTTCTGATCACCTGTTCCGGTGACTTTGGTGGTTACACGTACCCAAGGGAGACTTACAGCTCTAAATGTATGCTGCAGGTCGAGTTTCCCAGGAAGATGACTCTGAGATGGAGGCCAGCGTGCAAGAGGTTTATTAGGGAGAGCTCTTGGGAACAGCACCTGCGACAGGGAAGGGCAGACAGCAGGACAGGCAGAGGGGGAAGCCAGCCTAGGAGTCTGCAGGGAGTGCTACAGCTGACCTGCAGGTTCAGCCCAGGTTCATCAGCAATTCCATGATGTGGGGCCCCCCAAGAAGAGGCGTGGCCATGGGCAAGGTGACTCTTTTCAACTGAGGCCATCCTCAAGGAAGGCTGATACTTGGGGGCCCTTCCTCTGCAGGCAGCTCCCTCAGCAGCAGGAGGACGTGGGCATCCACTGCACACACCCTCTACTCTTTCCTGAAGAGCCAGAGCACGATTACCACCTCCTCCGGGCTACTTTCCCAGCTACCTTCTCTAACGCCCAGAGGAGAAGTGACAACTCTTCCTGTCCCTTCATTACTCATCTCCTCATTTCCAGAGCCAGGCCCTGCTGCCTGACACCCAGTAGGAATGCAATCAATGCCTGTTGAATAAATGGCTCACTGAACACTGAACACCAGCATAAAAATATGAATAAAACACCACATAATTATAGAAAAACTGCCCCCAGTGAGTTCAATGTGATTAGAAAGAGAAAAACATGCAGAAAAGACAGGGGAATTTGAAAGAGCAGCCGACGAAAGCCAAGACACACACACTCTGACCTCAACTCCGGCAAAACCCTGCGGCCCCAGTTTGGAAAATGAAAGGACAGATCCAGGCATTCGATGAAGCAGGGATCACGGAGGTGAGACACACTCGGTTTTCAACAGTTTTGCTAAATGATGTCTTTGTTAGTGTCATTACTGGCACAGATAAGAAAAGTAAATTTTAATCCTGATGAGGGAAAAAGAGTCCCAGGGATCAGAATGTCATCACCTTGATTTGCTGAGGATTTTCAATTAGCCCAGACCTAAGACACCCTGCAAGGGAAGCAGGCAATGGCCAGGCAAGGAATTTACCCTCTGTCCATGAATGGCAACAGAAACCAACGGGAACATCCGGTGAATTATGAAGATGCTGTGGTTTAAAATTCATTAAGTGGTATTTCACTTTCAGAGGATAAGGAGCTAAGAGAAGACTTTAAATGCAGAAGCCAGAGCACAATTGCAAAAAGAAAAATAAATAAAGAGAAAAGGAATAATCTCACCGTCAAATTTCTTTCTTATTATATTCACCCAAAATAGAGAAGAATTTTAAAGATAATATAATTTCAGGGAACACATTTGGGAGAGGCGTATCAAACCAATAGCCCCAAATTTGAGCAAACCTGTCACTTCTCTCCTGTATCCATGCTGGAGTTAAACACAAGGACTGGACTCACCATTGCTCACCAGGTACTGTCATACACCTTGAGGCAGTGACAAGAGTTATACTCATAGCTGCAAAGAAACCAACCAGACTAGAAAGAATGTCTCCTAAAGCCAAACATATACACCTCCTTGAAATGATAAACCACAACATTAGCGGAAAGCAAAAGCCGTAAGAACATTTTCAGACGTGCTATAATCAATACCCATCTCCACCACCGCACGGGCTTTCTTGGCAATCAAAATATCGTTTGACAAAAAGAGAAAACCAATAAACACATGTCTCGACACAGGTGTGCGAACACTCAATTGTCTGCATACAGAATGCACATTTCATATTTATCTGTTCTAAAGCATCCTGAATTGGGTTCTTCTTGTGAAAAATAGGCCTTACCTCTTCATTTACTAAGGAAACGCAACACATGCCATTTTGTTTTTCTCTAACATGTTTCAAATCGAAGCAGAGCTAATATTCAAACCATATTGGTAAATCCTTAACCATTTCATTAGCATGACCTCAATCTAGCTGACCTCACCTTTTTTAAAGAATACAATCACATTCTTGGCATGCTGACGCCTACAAAGATGTCAGAGAAAAGCAGGGTTACAGCTACCTTTGAACTTGTGGAACACGGCCCACAGCTCCGCAATGTCGGTGGCGAAGGTGATATCCGTGTCAAGGACGATGACCCTCTCCAGGTTGGCAGGAAGAGTCTTGGTCAGCACAAGCTTCATCAGACCATAAATCCCAGAGTAATGTTTGTTGGGGATCCAGGAAACTTCGGACTAGACGGGACAGGGCAGAGAGGGAGGTGGAGAAAGGGAAAAAAAAGAAATCACTACGTTAATTCTTTATATATATATTATACATAGTGGCTGGGAATAAAAAGTATCCAATAAAAATCTGAATAAATGAATTAATTTTTTAAAAAGATTTGTTTATGTAATTTATATTTTGGCACATGGAAGTTTTATTCTGGAAGAAAATGTATCTGAAACAAGGAAGAGAAAAAGTAATAGTTATAAAACAATTATTACATGCAAACCCTATGCTGAGATTTTTAATAACATTTTTGTTATTAAAGAAATTATAAAGGTCCACTGAAGAAAATAAGGATATGAAAAAAGAAGGCATAAAGGTACAGAACTTGAATCATACTGTATATACTTGTTGCAACTAGTACCTAATTGTTCCTAGGTAAATATATTTCTTTAAATCATATTCTATTTCTGTGTCATTAAAGATCAGTGCTCAATGGTATTGTTAAAGCTTATGCTTATTTTTTATAAAGCTGTAATAATAATTAAAAAGGCTGTAATTGAATAGATTAGCATTGCTACCTTCTCTTTACTCTCAGATAAACCCTTAAGGACGACCTGGTCATAATCTATGCAACATTCTTCACCTTGACAGCAATAGACGACACACACACACACACACACACACACACACACACAAAAATGGCCAGAAAGGAGTAACCCACGAGGTGCTTACACTGTAATCCTCACGTGATGTAATGGAGCAATCAATGTCCCACAGGTAGGTAGAGACATTAGCAAGCCACACACCTTGGTACCACTTGGTACATAAAGGCAAAGCTAAAAATAAAATGAAACACTAGCATAATAAAAGCTTTCATATGTGTAGGATCATTTATGAAGATCACCACAGGCAGGGGCCCCATCCTAGCTGTCTAGGGGAATTTCCATGGGATCCAAAGCACACTTCTTATTTTCAAGAGGTTAACACTTATAACAGAGCCCTTTAATGGGAAATAGGGCCAGCTTATCAGGATTACAAAAATATTCATCTCCTTTGTTCTTATAATTCCATGTTGAGGACACTGTTTTATTTTAAAGTCAAATTTAAAAACAAAAAACTGAAGTTTAATTCCCAAAGATGTTTGTCACCATGCTATAAAAGTAAAGAAATAGCAACCAATCAAATGTCCCCAAATTGAACAATTACTTAAATCATGATACATTTTTTCAGATAGCATACCAAGTAATGGCTTAAAACAATGTAGATTAAGATGTAATTCTAAAAAACCTGCATATGATGTTAAGAGGGGAAAAGTAAGCTTAAAATTGCTTTTGTTCAAAACTCACTATGTAAAACCAAGCAGCATCAGGACACATCCACCCAAATTTATGCAGTAGAAGAAGAAATACAAGCAAGATAGCGGATTACTAATAGTGATCATTTGGGGATGATGAGAGTTTCTCTCTGTCTCCTTTTCTCTGTGAACACAAATATTTATGTGTATATACACACACATACATAAATTTAACTGATACACTCTTTCCCACTTTTTAAAATGGGCAACTACTACTGCTGTTAAAAAAAAATCTAGGCACCACATTCTTTCCAAACACACCATGATGTGGTTGACATGGCGATGGTGGAGAAACGGGAGAACAGGGAGACGCAGGATGCGACGAGGAAGGACTCCCCATGCCCACTCCTGCGACCAGGCCGTCCCTCAAACCCACTCCATGTCGTGATTCCATCTGCACGTTTATTGAGAACATCATTTTAGCTACTCCGTATTCTCGGTTTTGCAAAGGTCCTTTGCTTACATGAGCACAGTTTTTTGTTTTTTTTTGAGGACAGAGTCTCCTTTGTTTCCAGGCTAGAGTGAGTGCCGTGGCGTCAGCCTAGCTCACAGCAACCTCAACTCCTGGCTCGAGTGTCCTTCTGCCTCAAGCCTCCCGAGTAGCTGGGACTACAGACATGCGCCACTATGCCCGGCTAATTTATTTATATGTATATCGAGTGGCCAATTAATTCTTTCTGTTTTAGTAGAGACGGGGTCTCGCTCTTGCTCAGGCTGGTTTTGAACTCCTGACCTTGAGCAATCCGCCCGCCTCGGCCTCCCAAGAGCTAGGATTACAGGCGTGAGGCCACGCGCCCGGCCCATGAGCACAGTTTTGACAAAGGAAATAAAAAAAAGAAAGAAATGAAAACACACTGAGGACAGAACTATTCACCCTGTATCAGTCTCAAGGATGAGAATCACCATGTCTGGAGTCCCTATCACCCTGCACCTGGGGCAGCGTGGAGAAGGGAAGAGGGACAGAAGTTCAAAGCTGGGCTCCAGCGTTTGATCTCTCTGAGCCTCAGTCTCTTTGCCTGCAAAACAGAGATGATGCCTACATCACAGGGTTGGTGCAGAAATGAAAAGAGTGCAGAACTCAGGAGCCTGGTACACAAAGTACACTCAGCAAACAGAAGCTCCCGCTCTTCTTCCTGAGCCCCCACCTTATTCTAAGTACATAGATACCAATGCTTCTTTCAGTGCTTCACACTGAATGAGAGGGTCTCTGAGACATGGGAGAGCACAGAACCTTGGTTTCTGGAGTTAGGCACACCTGGATTCAGATTCTGGTATCATCACTTAATCACCAAATCACCTTGGACAGGTGTGCTCGGCCTTTCTGAGCTTCTGCCATTCATAAACGGCAGTTACTTCCATGTGCTTACTTCACTGTGTCAGTGAGGACGTGGGTGGGCAGAGGGCTCACCCACACTGGGGAGTCTAAGGAAAATTTAACACTAAAGGGACTATTTATATATGTGTATGCAGATTTAGTGGCAGTAACATGAACCACACGGTGACTCAGAGAGGGGGAGAGTACTTGGGGCCATTCCCACCCCAAGGCCAGAAGGGCCAAGGCCACAGCTGCTGGAAACCAGAGTGGGTGGCCATGTGAGTAAGGCCACCTGGCAGGGGCAGCAACCTTCAGTCGAGTGGCCAGGCTACCTGTGGCGACCCACAGGACAGGAACAGGGAAAAAAATTCTCAACCTCACTCTGCTCCTGTCCACCGATCCCCTGGTGGGGTGTCCCTCTGGCCAACCCACATGGAAGCCAGAGAGAAAGCAAGATCGGGGACATGGTCTCTACGCATCAGCCTCATGGGGCACAAAGAGGAGGAGGAGGGTGAGTGATCTGGAGGGATAAACCTAATACAACCAGCAGAGTCAGACTGTTGACACAGGACAGAAATTAAACAAATGATGGCAAGATCAAAGCACAGTGCCTTATACATACTAGGTGCAAAACAAATATCTGGGACGGATGGATGGATGGACAGACGGACCAATGGCAGCAGGCAGGCACAGGAAGGAGACTCATTTGTCTACCACCCCACACCAGGCAAGATGCAAAGCTATCCTCAGAATCTGCCAGGGGAAGGTCTGTGTTCTTTCCCCAAACGCATTCGCCTCCTTTTGGAGTCAGCTTTCTGACTAGCCGTCACCTTCAGATCTGAGGACTTAGCGAGTAATTCCCTCCAGTGTACTTTATAAAACTCTTCCTCATGAAAGCACTGGCCTTTGGAACTCAGCCGGTTTCTTCTCTCCCCTGACAATTTGCCTGAACTGAAGCTTGGCAATCATCAGACCATGCTGCAGAGCCGTGCTATTTAATCAGACCTTTGATTAACTTATTCATCTATTTTGGTTACCATCAAAGCAGGAGAGCCTGGTGGCGACCGAACACCAGAGTGTTGGGTTAAGCCGTCTAATTAGATTGCCCTGACTCTCAGCTTTATTTTTAACACACATGTGAGGCGCTCGGATGCACCGAGGAACAGGACGACTACAGGAATAAATTAATCTCAACATGAGCCCGGGCCTGAATGTCGCCCCAGGTCCCCAACTTAATACATAATCAAGTGAGCCCAAATGTTCAATCGCAAGTAAAGGAGGCATCCGATGAGTTTGTACTCAGAAAGAAAGCCCAGAAAGGGTGGAAAACCTAAGGCATCTGGAGGAAAGTAATTGTGGTAAGAAGCAGGTATGCCTATTGTATAATAAAAGGCTTATCCTCTTAGAGGTAGGCTGGCATCTGGCATGCTCGTCCCCTTCCTCTGTCCACACTCTGTTCTTCCTGCATGTCTCAGCTTAGAAGTCCCTGCCTCCCCGTCACCACCTCCCTACTGCCCCAGGACTTCCAAAACAAGCTGTCCCCTCCCTCCAGCACAGCACGGTGCCACACTGTGTCTAATTTCCCATGTCTCTCTCCTGCGCTTGACTGCAACTCCTGTAGGCAGGGACAATGGTTTCTTTCTTTCTTTCTTTTTTTTTTTTTACTGTGGCAACAACATAGTAATTACTCAAAAATAGTTTGATGAATGTGCATAACCATGAAGTCAGCCAGGCCTAGGTTCAAATGGTACTCTTGACCTTTTTTCTCACCTAGGAGCAGAAGTGTCCATAATTGCTAAAGTCCTAGGTCAGCAGGGTACAATGGAAGAGGCGTGGTTTGGCTTTAGAAGTGATTCCACTTCCAATGAGCTGTGTGACCTCAGGAAAGTCACTTAAAGCTCCATGAGCCTTAGTTTTCTCATCTGCAAAATGGGGGCGTATAGTATGCAGTTTGCTGCATGCGTCTGGCCTCATGCTGGGCGCACAGCCGGCCTCTGCTGAGCCCACTTCTCTCCTCCCAGTGAATGTCGGTCAGCACTGGTGCAGCTCAGGTGATTTAGCTTTTTGAGCTAGATAAAAGCAGGGTACTGCTTTACTGTACCTTTGACAGTAAAGGGAAGTCAGGATGGAGATGGTTTTATTGGGGGAAATAAGTCAGTCACTTATCACTTTTCCTATGTTCCCATATGAAAGATTAGCAAAGTCACTAACTGAGATGTGGAAAATGCAAAGCCCCTCCGGTAGATATCCAAATCACAAAGCACATTCTTGGTTTGAGGAGGAGGCAGGGTGGGTGGGAGTGGTCACCCATGCCACCTCTTGGGGCAGTCTCTTGATGCCCTCTCACTCCCACC